CATGCTGAGTGGGGATGAGGGAAGGGGTGGGGCATCATGGCCTTGATCAGGGTTGGGGCAGGATCCGTGGGCAGTGAGGGATAGAGGGGTGCCTGGGCCACCTGACAGGCACAGGCAGCAGGTCTGGCCATGCCATCAGTCCAGGGGTGCTGTGTGGCCTGGGCCAGGCCCTTTCCCTCTCTGGGTGCCTGGAACTGGGGCTCAGCTCACATGCAGGGTGGATTCTGACACTGCGTCCCCCAGAACTGTTGTGTTAGAGGTCATGGCCAGGGAAGGTTTCTCGGGGATGTGGGAGGGTGGGGTGGGAAGCTCTAGTCTAGTCCTAGGATGCTTGTAGAAGGCCAGAGACATGTTGACTGGGAGCTGGCTGGAGGGTGCTTATCCAGAAGTGGGCAGCGGAGGCTTGAGCCTGTGTGAAGGTCAACCCACTGGTGGCATCATTAGGAGGCATCCAGACCTTGTCACATTACAGCCAAGCCCCACCCCGCCCCACCCCGTCCCGCCCCGCGACCCCCAGGTGTCCCACCTTCGGCTCGCCTCTTTATGAGTCAGACTTTGAGGCCCAGCCCCAGGAGAAATTAGGAGAAAATCATGGGTTCTGGGCACCAGAGACAGCTGGGCCAAGGGCTGGGCCTAGTTGTCTTTGGGAAAGGCTGTCAGCTGCTGTCACAGCTGGTGGGGGCTGGGTGTCCTGGGCACCCAGGGAAGTGGCTGCCCAAGGTCACACACATCTTGTGGTGCTGGGCTGCCACCAGACGAGCTCCTGGCTTCCCTTTCCGCTCTTCCCTGCCTGCTGGCCCTCCATGTCTGAGCCCCGTCCCAGCAGAAGCCCCTGGTGTAAGAACAGAATTAGACAGGCAGGTCAAGACTTCCTGGAGAAGGAGGAACTCTGGTGGCAGAGTGAGTAGGAGTTCTAATGGACAAGTTGGCAGAGAATATTGTAGGTCGAGGGAAACAGCACAAGCCGAGTCTAGGGGCCCTAATAGTTCACACTGGAAGGCCTTGGTGGGGGGAGGGTGCTCCAGGAAGAGGTAGGGGAGAGGAGCCGCTGGTCCTGTGACTCCAGTAGAGCTCCCTGACATGCTTGGGGTGGGGAGGTGGGGTGCATTTAGGGGCACAAATAAGACTGTGAGACTGGAAGCCAATGCACACACCTTGGGGAGGATGGAGGCCGAGAGAGTGATGTCCAGGGCCTCACAGGAAGACCTGGTGATAAGCCAAGGGCTGGTCAAGAGGAAGCAGGGGGCAAGGACAACCTATCCCCACTGTCCCCATAGGACACTGACAGAACTTCTGAAGCAGCCAAGCCCCCAGGAGCCACTGCCTCCACCGCTGGGCCCGCCTCTGGGCAGCTGTGTCCAGGTGCAGATGAGTGATGGCCTCCCTCGAGGCTCTCCCCACAACAGCACAGGTGAGCAGCACCAGACCTCATTGGCCTGACCCTGACCTGGGCAGAAAGCAGAGGAAAGGATGTAGCCTTGGTCTCCTTGGTGACAGGGACCATCTGAGATGGCTGTATCCCAGACAGAAATGAACTACCTGCTGCTGCAGGTGTGTGAGTGGGGGCTGGGTAAGGTGGTGTGGAGTCCCCAATGGTGGAGGGGAACCTGCTGTGGGCCTTGCCATCTTCACACTTGGGGACCTTGACCAGGGCTGCTTTCTGAGGCTCTGCCTGTGACCTCTTGTGGGCCTTTTGCTCCATGCTGGAGATCTCCCTTGGTTTCTAGCTGAAAAGGCAGCATTCCCCACCTGCCCCTCCCCCTCCCCCTCACCCCACGTCCAGAGACTCTGTGCCTGACATAAGCTTGATACGGGGAGAGTGTGTTGGCGAACCACACATTCAGTTGGCACCCACTGGGGCCGATTGCTATTCTTCATGTTATTCTGAGCCAGGTAGGTTCTGGCAGGTGTGGAGTGCGCCTGGGCATCAGGCCCAGGCGCATCTTACCTTCCCTCCTCTGCTCCCAGACAAGAAGCGCCCCAACAACGTGACCCTGGGGCTGGGGACACCTGTGCCCCCACGTGGCCCCAGGCTGCAGGCCGGTGGCACCATGACACTGCAGCCGGACTATGCCAAATATGCCACACTCAAGGCTGCTGCGCTCAAGGCCGCAGGTGAGTGGCCTGGGTTTGCCAAAGCATCTGCTGCCCTCGGGTACCCAAGTCCCGGGCACAAGGCTTGGCGGGCACAGTTCAGAGTCCCAAAGTACATGTCCTGCTGGGTCAGCTCTTCTGTCACTCAAAGCTTCAGGCCGAAGATACCCGGTTCGGCCAATCACCTCTTCGCGAGCCCCAGAGCAGCTAACCAGTTTCCCTTCGCAGCCAATCGGCTCCCACACCTTCGCCTACACCCACACCCCTTCCCCGGCTCCGCCTCCCTCCTGACCTCGCCCCAGCTCGCCCTCTAAAATCGGTCTGGATATCTTGTCCCGCCCCGCCTACTTTGACCCAGCCCTATTCCCTTGGTCCTCCTGGCCCCGCCCCTGAGGTCTGACCCCGCCCCGTCCTGTGCCCGCAGAGGGCGCCCCGCAGGACTTCTTCCAGCGAATTTCGGTCCCAGAGCCCGTCCCGCTGACCCTCCCGACGCGGGCCCCGCGGCCGCCGGAGGACTTGCCTGCGCTGCTCGACGCCTGCCCCTGGGC